AGCTGGTCAAGAGGAATTCGCCGTCGTCTTCTGGTGGAACCGACCTTCGAATCTCTTCACCCAACACTTTGCTCGAAATGGAAGTAATCCCAACAGAAGAAGTAATGCCTGTTCTCGGTCATCAAGGTTTGACGAGCATCATCATTCCATATGCCTGTTTAGATTTATTTTCCTGACTCGTTAGCTTGAATTTTGGTTGTAAAGATGATACTCTGTCCTGATGCTGTCCGTCAAACCAAGGACGAAAGCTTAGCACATTTACACCGGAATCAAAGATTGCCCCGGAAACAGCGCCAAAAAGATTGTTCTAGTAAACCCAATCGATAGCTGGTCAAGTGGAATCCGCCGTCCTCTTCTGGTGGAATCAACCCTCGAATCTCTTCATCAAACACTTTCACTTGAAATGGAAGAGCTCAAAAACTATAACCCAAGAGAGTCTTGGAAACTCAACTTTTCTTCCCATATAATGTATTCAACCGATCCCATGCAGTTTTCTTAGCAGACCTCATAGATTGTCCCACCACACCCGAAGCCGACTTGACGTCAGTTGAAAATTCTGGCCATCTTGTCCTCAATGCATAGAAAGTATACAATAAGACCTCTGACAAGCCCTTTTCCAGACTACTTTAGATGCTCAGATTTCAGCTAGGGCCGAAGAGGCGCTTAGCCAAGACGGTCAGTTTGCATGTGGACATTGACTTGAAGGCTTAGCAAGTTCCGCAGACTGACCTATTCAGGTAGGTTTAGCACCATCGAGCCTCTTTTGCAGTTCTTCTCCTATCAGCCCTATTACCGTCAATAATGCTGGTGGTTCCGGACATTCGATAGCAGATACAAAGAGTAACTGGGTTTCGTTGAATCCCCTAAGCTAGTATTCTTGAGGAGACCTTTTTTTACGAAATTGCATAAAGAAGAGATTCGCAGGTTGATCTAATCCGAAGACGAAGGCTAAATCCCGTTGTATTGTAGCTGTTTGGCTTTAAAACGAAGTTCGGGTTAGCGCAATCCACGAGACATCCTCCCTCGCTTCGAGTGAAAACGACTTGAGCCGCTATCTAAGATAAGGCGACTCAGCTTGTCCGCTCAGTAAGGGTTGACTTCATTCACACTTCTCCAACATGTTAGATTAATAGAAGTGGGTTGACCTCGTTGTCGCAACTTGGTCTTGTTGTCAGGGGACTATGTAGAACGCACCTAGTCCGAAGTCGTCTGCCATAGTAGTTGTCTTAATTCCCAGCATCAGACAGTGGACTTAATACATTCTCAAACGTTTCGCCGGCATCATCAGTGACCTTCGCCTTTCTCCGCACCAAGAGACTTGTCTCTTTGATGAGTTCGTATCTTGGTGCGGAGAATGGCAAAGCTCACTAATGATGCCGGCGAAACGTTTGAGAGTGTATCAAGTCCACTGTCTGATGCTGGTAATTATGACAACTACTATGGCAGACGACTTCGGACCAGGTGCGTTCTACTAATTCGCCCTGACAACAAGATCAAGTTGAGACACGAGGTCAACCCATTTTTTATCAATCTAACATGTTGGAGAAGTGTGAATGAAGTCAACCCTTACTGAGCGGACAAGCTGAGTCGCCTTATCTTAGCGGCTCAAGTCGTTTTCCTTGTGCTTGCACACTATGGGGCCCTTATTTGTGTTGCCTTCCAATGGATCTTGTGCCCAGTATGCGTGTTGTTGCGCTACTTCTGATCACTCTGTATCCATTTTCTTGCAGAGCCTTTGGAGCCCCTTAATTCGTATGCTGATTTTTCTCCCTGTTAACCAGAAGCTGCGTGTTATGCAGTATTTCCCTAGCAATCTGATTTTTCTACCCTATCATGTTGTGAAGTATTGTTTTTTCTTTCGTAGTCGCCCGAATAGTCCATTAGGCAGTAGTTTTTGAGCTAGTTCACAGGATATCCATTTTTGTGAATCCAGGACCACATCTTGGTATTCATATCCACTGGATGCAAACGTCTTTCGCATAACATATATAGACTAGGATTTTATTCAGTTTGAATCTGCCGAAAAATAGCTGTCGAGATGGAGATTCTACAATCAAAACCAATTCCCTTGTGGATTAACGCCACATGTCCCCCAGCAACCAACTGGCTGAGCGTAAAGGTAATTGCTGAACTCGACCCACTCGAATGACGCTTCTTCTAAAATCCACAATGTTCCCAATTCTCTCTTAATTCTAAGCACTAAATTGTTAAGCAATAGGTCGCAATGCGAAATTTTTTATGAACCCAGATACAGACCACTTGCCAGTGATGCGCTAGAAAAAATACTTGTGTGCATGTAAACGAATGATCCTTAGATATATTGACCTATTCATGCTCACATGGAAGTTATTCTGGCTATTTATAGGGTCTCCATAATGAGGCTTAGGTAGAAGATAAGTCCTTCGATTAAAATTTATTTTTTTAACTGAATAAAAACTGAGCGAGAAATAGTTATTTTTAATTCATAAGAAGATCATTAGAACTAATCGTAGATAAGAGGACTAAGGTAGTGTAGCCGCAGTCTTCTTTAGCTATAAAGTATTGGTTCGACATTTTCTCAACTTATTCGAAGCGACAGGGAAACCTTGTTAAACGTATAGTCCTGGCTTCTCTCACATATTATTCATAATTTCCAGCACCGGACAGTTGACTTGGCACTTCCCCATAAGCTTCGCCCACACTTTAAGTGGGAAGCACCATCCTTAGAAGCAAATTACAACTTATTAAAGTTACAAATGAAGCATATCCTTCAACGATGATAGCATCTATCCTCTCCTCTTATACTAGCTCCTAGCGCTGTAGCTCCATTTATCAATCCTACTGAATATAGCCCACCATTGTCTTCATTTGCTCCAATTCAACTCGTCACCTTGATAGGTTTCAACTCTGTCCTGAGGATGGTGCCTCTCATTGACGATGCCAGGCAAATTTCTGTTGATGTACCGAGTCAACGGTACGATGTTAAGAATTATCATGAATGTTATGGCAGAGTACTTAGGACTAGATACGTTTCACAAGTTCTCCCTGTCGCTACGACCAAGTTGCCAAACGAGGTAAAACCAATAGTATCAAAACCTATGTTCGGAGATCTAGGGCAGTCTATGGCATGAAATCCAAATAGCACTTTGATAAGCAGTCACTGATAGCCCTTAAAAAGTTCGTCAAGACAATGAAGTCAGTTTAAATTTTAGATCTCGTGCTAGGACTTAGAAGAAATGTGGACTACTTGAGCAAGTTATTCAATAATCTAAGGAAGAAATATTCACCAATCTGATTTAAGCGAGAAATAGACATTCTATTGTCAAAAGTACAATAAAAATAAAGATAAATGCACCACAGGCCTTCAATAAACAATATCTATACTCAAAGGATCATTTTAATCTGTGGGTGCTGAATGCATTTTAAGAATAGCAGGATGAAAAGTATTAGGGAAAAACATTAAAGACGAATACAGGTTGAAGATAAAACAAATCCAGCAGAGAAAAGTTTGAAAGGAAGCAAGGAAATATCTCGATGGAAGCATAAAATGTCAATTTAAATGGTGGAAACAAAGAATCAATGCATGAGAAAGACAAGATGAATCAGAATTTAAATAGAGAAGATAAGCAACTAGATGCGAGGAAAGTAGCGAATTCTATCCAAGTCTTCCGCCAAAGCAATAATTCTGTTTTCAAGTCGGTCAAACCGCTCCAAAAGCTGGTTATTCCGATGGTCAACATGAAGTAATAGAAGATGCTGGTTCTCCGATAGGATCCTCATTAGGCTATTTTGACCACGCTGAAGCTGAATGGCAAGATGATTTAGTGAGTCATTTATATTTGCGCTAGTGGGTGTAGATGTGGAGACCGTCGTCGCTACAGCCATTGGGCCGGAAAAAGAATCAACTGCTGTAGTTGTGAAGGAGCCAACACATGAAGCAGCTACGGAGACTGGAAGAGAAAGTTGTGAGGGAGGGAGCAAACCGCTTCTCGAAATGTGCACCTATAATAGCAATAACAATAAAATAAATAATAGAAAGGGCTTAAATACGGACCTTGATCTGGAATATGAAATGCAGATTTTAATTTCATGCCAAATTGCTCGGGTTTTAAATCAATAAAATTTAAAAGTAAAAATACAAGAAAAATGGAAACCAGAGGCAAATTTAATTGTAATGATATTTTTCAGAAAACAAGAATCGGCTATAAAGAAATAGCTTTAAAACTATATTTTATTAATATGAGATGTATTCACCCTATTTCGTTTAAGGTGATTAAGGACTGGTAGTAGAATTTTCTCAAAATGACACAAGACTTGTAAAATAAATCGCACATGAGCTGAAGCTAATGACAAATATACCTTCTGAAGATAGAACTAACTAATTGCTCTATAGAATATGGCATCCATCATAAAAATTTATGAATATCCACACATTTACTATCCATCATGTCTTAACGGCTTCCGGTTTCACTTAATAAGTCATTCATTCGTTTAGCAGTGCTTAACTAACTGCTAGCTACGCTTTCTGTAATGTAAATCCCAAATTAAGATGCTAGAAACATACTCAGGTCTAGTCTGAGATAAAACATTATATTCTAAAACAATCTATCTCTCATTGAACATGTGAAGACCAAGATGTTGTGGCCTCGGGTATGGTCGCAGTCTCCTTTCGACTTATAGAAGTGGGTTGACCTCGTTGTCGCAACTTGGTCTTGTGTTCA